ATTGGAGCCAGGAGTGAGCCAACCTTGACTCCAATCAGTGTGATGATATTGGATGTGTTGCTGACAGCTGTCCTGCCCTTAAAAAACACACACCTGTTTTGGGTTTACTGGTTTCAAAAGCACTGTCTGATGTGAACCATGCCTTGCAGAAAAGAGCTCTCAGAAGACCTACGATCAAGAATTGTTGACTTGCATGAAGCTGGAAAGGGTTACAAAAGTATCTCCAAAAGCCTTGATGTTCATGTGTCCACGGTAAGACAGACTGTCTACAAATGGAGAAAGTTTAGCACTGTTGCTACTCTCCCTAGGCGTGGTCATCCTGTAAAAATGACTGCAAGAGCACAGCGCAGAATGCTGCATGAGGTAAAGAAGAATCCCAGAGTGTCAGCTAAAGACCTACAGAAATCTCTGGCACATGCTAATATTTTTGTTGACACATCTACAATAAGGAAAACATTAAACAAGAATGGAGTACATGGGAGTACACCACGGAGGAAGCCATTGCTGTCCAAAAAGAATATTGCGGCACGTTTGAAGTTTGCAAAAGAGCACCTGGATGTTCCACAGCACTACTGGCAACATATACTGTGGACAGATGAAACCAAGATTGAGTTGTTTGGGAAGAACACACAACACTATGTGTGGAGAAAAAAAGGCACAGCACACCAACATCAAAACCTCATCCCCACTGTAAAACATGGCGGAGGGAGCATCATGGTTTGGGGCTGCTTTGCTGCTTCAGGGCCTGGACGGAATGTTGTCATTGATGGGAAAATGAATTCCAGAGTTTATCAAGACATTTTGCAGGAAAACGTATGACCATCTGTCCGCCAACTGAAGCTCCGCAGAGGATGGGTGTTGCCACAGGACAATGACCCAAAGCATACAAGTAATTCAACAAAACAATGGCTGCAACAGCACAGAATACGCCTTCTGGAGTGGCCCAGTCAGAGTCCTGACCTCAACCCGATTGAAATGCTGTGGCATGACCTTATGAGAGCGATTCACACCAGACATCCCAAGAATATTGCTACACTGAAACAGTTTTGTGAAGAGGAGTGGTCCAAAATTACTCCAGATCGTTGTGCAGGTCTGATCTGCAACTACAGGAAACGTTTGGTTGAGGTTATTGCTGCCAAAGGAGGGTCAACCAGTTATTAAGTCCAAAGGTTCACATACTTTTTCCTCCCTGCACTGTGAATGTTTACATGTTATGTGCAATTAAACCATGGCAACATCTAATGTTTGTGTAGTATTATGCTCAGCAGACTGTGTTCTTCTATTGTTGTGACTTAGATGACGTTCAGAGCACATTTTATGCCCAATTCATGCAAAACTCCATGTAATCCCAACTGTAAGTGAGCATGAAACAGCTAACAAAACACTTCCAAGATAGACATACAAAACAGTCATGACATGTCAGTGCCTAATTTGTGCACATGTACCCTGCATTTATAGGCACAAAAACACAGCACGAACCCTTTAGCAAAAGTCCAGTTTTTCTATCATAATGAAAGTACTGTTACATGGCCATTTTATATACAGACAGATCTAGGTGGAGTTCTCTTGAATAATGTAGTCTGCAGATTTATTCATTGAAGGTTAAGGGCTAGTATCATACCAGAGCACGAAGGCAACAACTCATTTTTATGTTGAATTAAAAAGGCATACTGGCTGGAATTACTGGTTAAGATAACTGATACCGAACGCAGAAGGGTTTATGGGCGTTCTTGGTGATGGCTTAAATCATCATCTCCCAGGAAAGGCTCACAAGTTAATGTAATTTTCATGCTTTTAGTCTGTATTAGGCATTAACAAGACCATTATTAATCAATCCCAACACAAAACCATAGCAAATTATTGCAGCTATAAATACCAATCTGGGGAAAGCTTGGCAGTGTGACAGTGATGTATCACAGCAGAACGCAGTTGCAAAATTGCAGCAAAGACTGCACAACTCTACACAGGACACAGCAAAGCCAAGTGGAAAAGAAGGCTAAATAATTGTCAAAAACTCCTCAAAGAGGCTACACTTTGGCCAATTTCATAAATACCTGTCCAATGCTTCCTGCTGACTATCACAATATCAGAAAATGCCATATTTACTACATCTTTTTTTATCGTTTGTTAAACGTGCCAAAAACACTTTATGAAGTATGCAGATCTGACAATATGACGACTTTCCTGCCCAACCCCATGTACTCCTCTAGGTTTTTATTTTCAGCTTAAGACCCCGTGCATAATAGGCATTTAGAAGCGGACCAAGGGCACAGGTGCACCATAAAGGCCCACTGCCAGTAGCCTGTCAAACTCTATGAGAGGGTGGCAGCTTCTGCGGCTGGATAGGGCTGGACAATACTCCTAGTGGTACGAATGTTTACAGCAGTATGTACACAAGGATGAATCTCTGAAACACATGCAGTCTGCATTTCGAGCATTTGTGCTTTGGCAAATTGTGCCCTAAAAATTGGTATCACTCAGCAGCTATCAGTCTCTCATAGAGTTTGTTGACAGGTTGCAGGCAGCAGGGCTGGATGGTGCACCTGTGCCTTCCACCTCAACCTCCACCTGAAAACCAGAGCCTCATGCCCTGGGCTACATGCAATGAATGTCACTGCTATAAGCAAACATTTTTATTGAATGAAATAGATTTATTCAGTGTGTATTGTTGTGATTAGCTGTGACAGGCCACAGCTAATCACATGGTACAGATGGGGTGTGATTGGCTCGGTCTGTACCATTAGATAACTGTTTTTTAATCACAGCTAGCAACACAATTGTACATGAGTGGCATGAGTCCAAGCCATTCATTGTTTACAATTGTCCGCTGTGATTGGTCACAGCGACACATGGTACCAGAGAGCTAGTACACTGATCAGTCATCCGCTGTGTCCACAGGACACAGCGTGTGACCGATCACGCTGCAGCGTGGCCTTTTGGGCCAACACGATGCGAGTTTTGGGGTGGACGTCACTCAGAACAATAGGGCTCCTGCCTGCCCAGTTCCTTACCTGTCTGTATGCCCTGCACAGCAAGCTCCTCTGTGGTCTTGTGTGGTGGACTGTTCCTGACGTCATCAAGCCCATAGACCTGCTCTGGATGTGAGGACATCAGGACAACTCCACTGCTGGATCGTGGGGGGGAGCCGTTGACTGCTGGGTCGGGTGAGTATAGGTTTTTCTGGTCACCCCTGCACAAAACAAGCAGTTAACCTGTGCAGTCCAGGAACAGCCCCACTGCATGGGAAAACATTTTATTTGCCCGGAAATGGGTTTTAAGCACAAAAAAAGAGAAAACTTCCCATACCAACATCATTTTGGTAACCAGTGAAAAAAAGAAGAAAATACCAGAAGGTATATCTTACAAAAGACATTTTGTAATGGATTTACAGACATCTAGAATGGTCAGTACCCACAGTAGCTCATGAGTATTACTATCTGGGGGAAAATAATCTAACCAAAACCAACCGTTCCAAGAAGTGCTGAGCTCAGCTTCCTGTTCTGGCTGAAACATGCAGCATAACCAACATCCCTACCCTTTAATTTACTTCAGTACAGCTAAATGACATGCTTAAATTTCACCAAGTTACATATTTAGTCTGATGCTCGGCATGTTTACTTAGAAGAAAAATGAGGGAGAGTTGTGACCTTTGCACATAAATAAAAAGACTATGTTGGGCTCTCCACTACAAATTAGAAATGCCAGCTGGCAAAGGTGTCCAGGAATGGACATGCTGCCTGCACTACTGCATAAAAAAACCCCCACTGACCAGACGTCTCTAATAACAAGGTAGGGTGTGATGGGGATGGCTCTTTCAAAATCAGGACTCTTTCTGTGATTCAGTTAAAGTTCCACATACAGTATAACCATACTGCACTACTTTGATGCTTCAAACACATTTTAGAAACAAATTATAGGATCAAATAATTCCATCATAATGGAAATAGAAATGTATCTATTTAACAAAAAAACTAAGCATGATTTCCATTTAAAAGGATAAATTCATGTTTTATAATATGTTACTGCTGCCACTACCCCCCCTCTGCCCTGTAAGTTTCCACCCACTTGACCACATCATTCATTCACAGAGTTCTGTGAATGGGAAACTACAACTGCCATCAGTCTTTGCGGATGATGGCTTGTAGGATTCTGTCATTGTTTAACTGCCTGCTCATACAAGGTACAAGCAGACAGCTTACATTGACAGCCTGAAGGAGTCCTGAATTGGACCAGTGATCTGCTGCTCACGACTGCAATGATTTACAGGCTCCCAATAAAAAAAAAAAGAACAAATAATAAATGCACGTTTTTTACCAGCAAAAAGATGTGCATTTATTATTTTTGTAAAGGTGAACTTGTCCTTTAAACTACATAATATAACCATAAAGCAAATTTAGAAAATCCACAACCCTTTATGTGGAATGTATAAAAGAATGACTGCACAGGATGCTGCAAGAGAAAGGAGCCACCCTGAAAAAGTAAACTGGGGCAGTGGTCATGGCATCAACTTAAACAGGAAAATAGGCAAGGATTAAAAGATAAAGCTGCTGCATACTCACTACGTGAATAAATCAGCTGCTGAAAGTGCTTAAAATACTGAGGGTTTAATTTCACTTTTAATCAGTTTTCACCTGCCCTCAGTACATTTAGGCTGGGTTCAAACCTATGCAGTTTGTGTTTCATCCAGTTCTGCAGTACTTTTTGCACATGCATTGTTTATGCGTTTTTGCCACTTTTTTTGCCTTTTGCTTTGTTTTTTTTCAAAGTGTAAAAATATCACTATGGTGAGACTGAACTACTCTGATGAATGTAGGTAAAAAAAAAAAGTAAAATAAAAAAAAACAATATTAAAGTGTTACTAAGACCACAACAGTAAACTCAGTCTGTATATGCAGTAAAGCATGCTTGTTATGGTCACTGTGGAACCTAAGGGGTTAATCCTCTACATTGTGTAAAACTGCTGCTCGATCCTGTCTTCTCTGATTATACCCTTCTTCCAGTGTCCCTCTCTTATCTCCTGATAAAACATATCATATTAAAACACTCTGCACATGCTCAGTTTGGTGTGTATTGCTAGAGAGGTGTTTTTTTTTTTTCTTGGGAGAGTGCATGTGATCAGCACTGGGCCAATCAGCACTGTCCAGACAGAGGTCAGGGGTTCTGCATTCTCTTAGAGCAGAAAGAAAACTCCTCCTACCCGCTTTAACCAGTGCTCTGCTGAACACTGATAGAAAACACAAGACTGCTCTAACTGCTGATGAGAAAAAGTATTTAGCAGTTTATATTTACTAAAATAATTGCATTTCCATGTTGTGTGTACTGTGGGAGAGAGTCCTGGGTTTAATAACACTTTAAGTGGTTCTTAAGGTCAAAGGGTTTTTACCTTCATGCATTCTATGTACAAAGGTAAAAAACCTTTGGTATGCAGCTCTCCCTACAGCACTCCCTAATACTTACCCAAGCCTGATCTCGGTTCAGAGATGTGCACGAAAGCGTCGGCTCTCCTGGGTCTCCCCCACTTCATTGGCTGAGAAACAGCAACAGAATCCATTGTTTCCCACTGCTGTCAATCACAACCAGTGAGGAGGGGGTGTGTGTGTGTGTGGTGGGGGTGTCAAGACTAAGTCATGCTCTATGTGTCACAGACACACAGAAGTGGCTTGTGAGCCAGCAGGGGGGAGGGGCTTGAAGCACCGGAAGAAAAGGAGGATTGGGGTTGCAGGTAAGAATGATGTGTTTATTACCCCATCTTTGATCGTCAGTTCTGGTTATTGATGCCACTTCCGCCTTCGGACCATCCTGTTGTTACCAGTGCCCAAGGTAACTCTACCTTTGTGAGTGATATTGTTTTTGTTCATTAAACTGGTTTTTAATTACTACACCCAGATGTCGTTTGTTTTTCTCTCTTCTTTGTAGTTTCTCCAAGCTACTTCTTTAGTTCGAAAAAAGGTCAGGAGGATACCCCAATCCACACAGGTAGCAAAGGCACCTTAATTCAGTCACTATGCAACAGGTAGATATTGATTGTCCAAGAACAGGGGGGGGAGGTGTGATAGTTGGTGAGCCATCCTGTTTCAGTAACATAATCCCATCCTTGGTGTCATGAAGTCTGCATAGGTGTTAATTCTTCAAGTAACATGGCTAACGGTGTAAATTGTTGTCAGATTGTTAGAGTAGAGATGCTAAAACAGCTTTATATGTGGAATACAAGTTGCGTCGGAAGCCCGCCAACCCGTTTAGTGATTTGCCAGTGTGATGCAGATGGATTCCTTTCACACTCGTTTCAAACCAGTTGATCTCGCTGTACAAAATGTGCACCTTTCCTGTAGTGTTTCATTAAGAGGTAGGAAGACTGCTGAGTCTTGACCCGTAGAATTTTCCCTCCTATGAAAAGTCATTTGTTTGTTCGAAGGTTGTTTTGTCTCTCACATCTTTGCATTTCTCACTAAACTGCACTGCATATACCAAGTTACTTTGTTTGTGTACTGTGTGTTTAAGACGTACAAACTTCTGTCTCACTGTATGCCTTGGCTTCAAAGCCTCAGGGATGCAATCTTTGTTTAAGATCCCACTGAGTTTTTATGCTCTACCAACTACATACAGGACAACTATATTACTACATGTGACCTGCTTCACCCCATTGCTTGATAGTCCCGTGTTTTTGCTTAAACTTGTGGATGTTTCAACGCAGGCCCAGACTCCTGAGATGTCCGTTTTTTGTCTTTAGAACCTGTTTAATATTACCATCTTAGTCTGAATTTATATGACAGGAAGACTATGCAGTCTTCCTTCTACCCTAGGTAAAAGGAACATTCTTTCAAAGACAATGAGATGCACATTTTAGACATAGAAGACCACTGGTTTGTGGGAAGCGTGAAAGAGGGCAACTACATCAAACTGGAACAAACTTTGTGGAAAAGTGGTGGGACTTTCAACACCATCTGTCTTCACCATATATTGCCATTTTAATATGGCAATTTGACAACTACTCAAACCTTTAGGGTTCATTCACATGGGAGTCTAAAACGCTGTGTTTAGGTGCATACAGCAGATAAAAAAAAAACAACTATAGGAATCAATGAGGCCATACACACAACTGTGCCTACAAATAAAGATTTTATGCATATGCATGTGTAAATGCATAAAGATGCATATACACATACAAGCATAAAGTCATTAGAAGAGATGTACGCTTCTAAACATGCCTAAATGCAAGTACTTCAGGCCCATATTTTACGCAGGATCTTCTGCTAGCTCTGCCAGCAAGAATCTGCATTCTGTGCTGAAAATATGCACATGCCCAACTGAATCAGCTCTTACCCATGTTCATTGAGGAATTAACACCCATGCCAACTTCTGGACACAAAAGATGGGATTATGTAACTAGGACAGAATGATTCCACAACTTTCACACGTCTCATCCTGTTCTTGCACAAACAACAACTACACATCCCATTGTAGTTTCAATAAGGTGTCTGCGATACCTGTATGGATATTTATGCTGGGGTATTGTCTGTACCCACACTTATTAGAACTGAAGAAGTGGCTTGGAGAAGCTACAGACTTCTTCAACGTTGTAGAGCAAGTCCAGTTGAATGTGACTAACTACTATTAGCTAAACCCGTACAATTTATCTTATTTGCTCCCTTTTGATCTGATAAATACCGAATTAAAAATTGTTTGTTTATGTGTCTATTCAATAGGTGCAAAAAAACAATGCTGATCCTGGCAAAACTCTGGGGAGCTGATAAATCTCTGTGTGCTTTGCTTATGCTGCATGCTTATCAATTACATTGTTTCTAGTTTTCCCTGTGGACTACAAAATGCCTCTCCACTACGTTATGGAGAACGTAGCAGGAGAAGTGTTCTGCAGTCCTTTCCTAACCCTATAGTAATGAGTTACTGAGTGTGGTCATGCTAGGACAGGAAGTGTGTAATGGTAGGATCGCCAGAGAAAAAAATGTGTTAAACAAAACAAATACAGCTACCACTTTTAAGAACTGATAAGCTGCAACATATTACAATCAGTAGTGAAAAAACCTCAGCGCCATCACCCTAAAACAGTGCAAACTAATGAAAGAAAAAAATATCTAAAAGCTGTATATAACTAATGTTAGTACTGCTGCTCACACTTTTTGTGTTCCCACAAAAAAAAGGTATAAGTGATTCAGTGCCGCGCAATGCCAAATATTCCTAGTGGTAAATGCTCATGTGCTGTGGAATATCACATAAAATCCTATAATAAAGTGAATTAGGTGGACATGCGTATATCCTATGCATTTATGTCCAAGCATAGAATGTATGCGGTTATGTCATCACAATAGATCTAAAACAATAACTAAACTGAAACTTATAGGTATGCTCAGTGGACATTCATTTATCATATGCGTATATGTCAACACATAGAATCATGTGTAAAATATATGCATTTAACTCAAAACCGTATATCTGAAACAATCCACACCCATAACTGAAAAACATAAAACTAGATGTTATAATAAATTATGTTCAGTGAACATGCGTGTATCATATGCCTTTTGAAGGCAGGTGTGTGATCCTGGCAGGGGACAGAGGTGCTCTAATGAAGAGACAGTACTCCATGTTGGAGAGATTCCATGTCCATTGGGCTGAGAAAGTTGGACAGATGAGAGCATCTGGGATAGCTAAAGCAACTAGGAGATTCTAGGGCACTGAAGGAACCTGGAGGTCTTGGAGAAATGAGAGAGCCCGGGGGAGAGAGAGAGATATTGGAGCTAGGACTACAATCTGAGAGCCAGATGGCTTAGCGTTTCTGTTATCGGTTTTTGTTGGAGAAGAACTTCTGTTTTGGCAAGTGAGTTTGTGAACCTTTTTTTTTATTTGCTTAAATAAAAGTGGTCTGTCAAGCCATTATCACACAGTTCATACTGGCATGGACTTCCCTAAAACGCATCTGCCAAGCCTTTTTTGTCTGCCTTTGTCTTGGGAGATTTAATTTACCTTCCTTTCCAATACACACAAAATTGGAGGATATCTTTCTAAAAGGAGCGGAAATCTCAACTGTCATCAGGTTTCTACCCGCCTCCAGTTCAGGTGACCTTTTAACTTCTATTTCCAGCAATAATGGTCAAACAGAGGGGTTGAATCTATGCACTGAAATCACAAAATAAAACCTTAAAGGGGGTTCAACCCTTCCTAGCGTCTTCCAAAACAAACAAAAAAAAGTTTCAAATAGAGGTGCACTTTAATCTCATTGGGATGACCTGCTCTCACAGAAAGTGGCAGGAGAGCAGTCCTTTTAAATCTGACATAGAAAACCTTTACTTGTAATGACCTACATGCATAACAGCATAGTAAAATAACAGCTTTCATAGCACACCTCCTGTGAGTATTGAGCTATTAGGCCCCACTCGCACATGAGAGTTTTGTAGCGCGAAGCTCCAAACCACTCAATGAGAAAAAATAAATAAAATAAAATATTCTCTATGAAGATGGTTGACATCTCCACTCCAAGTAGCCAGAAGCTCAAAATAGTTTTGGAGCTACTTTTGTAGCTCAATTCTGGCAAAATGGCATTTTTTTATGTGTTTTTTTTCTCCATAGAAATGAATTGAAAAGCTCAATTTCAGCAGTTTTTAAAAATGTTTTTGTGCATTTTTGTACAGCATTTTTAAAGCATTCTTAGCTTTAGCACTTTAACCTCCCTAGCGGTCTAATTATGTCCATATTTCTGTGCTCAAAGTGGTACATTTTTTTGCATGGAAATATGTATTTTTTTTATTGTAGGCCTGTAATTTTTAGGAATAACTCACTGAAATCTGTCCGAACAAGAGTCTAGTAAACATCATGGGTATGATAAAATTTGAAACACGAAATCATAAATTATAATTTAATAAATAATCATTAAAAAAAATATAATAAATTGAATTCAATAATATAATCAAACCAAAAACACTGAAATTTGAAATATAGCGTCAAGTTCGCACATCACTGAGCAAAGTCGCAAAATCGTTTTCAGTGTCTGATGACGAATTTCCCCACAAATCATTATCACTCAATTCTGCAAGTGATTCTGATTTACTATTGCTGTTCTCTAGCTGGTCTAAAACGGATTTTGACCTAAAAGGGACGC